ATAAAAATAGCTACAAATTTTAATTTTCTGTCAGCCTTTGCTCTCTGTGCACAGGCCAGTCCTCCCGAAGCTGTGATCATGGCTGAGCTGAGAGGAGCTCAGTCAGAGTATCTGAAAGGTGGATGCCCTGGTTTAGGGAAACATTTCATTTCTGTGTTGTTGGAACTGAGGAAGACAGAGCAGAGGATCACACATGTCCTCATTTGGCCTTTTCTCTGCCTGTTCTGTTCACAGCTCTAAACACAGTGTCAGCAAACTCCGTGTGATTTCCCCTTGGATCATCACCTTTGGTGGCTGTAGACAACAGAAAACAAAAGAAAACTGTTGGAGGTGCAGCTGGGGCAGAGGAGCACGGATCCTCCCAGCCAGACTCATCTGTACCCTGGAGAGGAATTACTCCCACCTAGGAGTTGTGCTCAAACCTGCTAATTCCATACACAGCTTCACAGCTGTGCCAGCTCTGCTTGTTTCCACTCCCAGAGATGAAATAAAACTGACTGCTAATTTTTGATGACTGCTTTATGAAGTTCAGAAGTGAATAACAGACTTGGAACAGCATTACTACAGTGATAGAGCTGTCTTCATTAAAACCTGAAACCACAGAGAGAAACCCTCTACCCATATTCAGGTAGAAAAGTCTCCAAAGAAATGATTCAACGTGTAAGATGCCAAGTGATCCAAGCACCAAACCACTGGCAGACCTTGAGAACACAGGTGTCAAACTCCCCCTCCCTACCTCCAAGTAGGTACTTTCACAGAGCACATGCAGTAGCCATCTGCTCATGCATTTGCCCCTATTTTCCATGATTCTGTGATTCTAGATCCTCCTGCTGCTCCAAGGGAGGACCCAAGGAGTCTTTTCACATCTCCATTCCTTACCTTCACACTTGTACCACCTGTGTACTGCCAGTTCCTTTGTACATCATTGCCCATTCACTGAGGAGAGATATAAGAAAGAAACCAGGTATCATTATTAAAACCATGTTTATGGATGACTTGAAATTGTTAATTCCAAGAATACCAAACCACCTTAAAAAGGAACATTTTGCAGAGAGACAGAACAACTGGTTAAGATATATCATGGCTGCTCTGTGCTGTGATGGGTAATGACTAATTAATACCAATAATAACGCTAAGTTTGGAGAATGCCTCAGCACTGGGTCAGCACTCTGGTAAGGCAATGCTTTATTGCAGCTCATTAAAGGAGAAAAAAAAGCAGTAAAAGGCTTAAGAACCATCACAGATCCTGGCTATATGAAGCTAATAAACAGTATGATAAACTATCATTTACATGAATAAGAAAAGGAATGGACATTTCATTTCCTATGCCTTTGTTGCTCCCATTCAGTTGCACTGATGGGGCTATTTGGGGAAGCCCCACAGAGCCTGTTTACAAGAGAACTTTGCAAAACAAAGACAGTCACGGTCAAAACTTTGCTGGTCACTTCAGTGTATTTACATGGAAGAGCTGGGAAGAAAACAAGTATTCTGAAATAGCCTCGTGGGACAGTTCAGTTGGAAGTGGTAACTAGCAGGGAAGGATCTCATGGCTATCTGGGTGTGTTGGCCACAGAAAAAGCATCTTGTTTCCAAACAGAAGTTTGATCAAACTTTCTTCATCCAGGCAAAAATACCCACACAACTCCCTGAGCAAAATGGCAACTGCCAAAGTGTTCTGCATGCAGGGAACAGCATTGTTCAAGTCTGCCTCTTGAGAAACCAGGCACAAGCTCTTTACTTTCCATAAATGTGGAAAATGTGCCATGCCAACACTTGTCAATACATTTCAAATGCACATATTCCATCTGAGCAGCTCCCAGAAACGATCCCATTTTCCCTCTCTCTTTTAACTAACAGAATGGAAATGCTCTGGATTTACAATGAAGGCACCTAAAAGCACAGTTGAAACAACTGTTTTTAAGAAGACCTTCCTATGCCATAACTTTTCACAGTTCAGTTGCTAAATTACACATTATAAAAATAAGTAAGTGCAATTGAGAGACTGTGTTAATCTCAGAAGTTTAAACACTGCTCTGTAATGACTGCTTTATAGTGGCCCATGGTAAAGTGCTTTATGGGGCATGCAGGAGATTTGTCCACACGCGCCCATTAAACGCTCCTGGGAATTTTCTCACACAGAGAGACCAGGCCTGGCACAAAACTAAACATGGACAAAACACTGCCTCATTCACACGGCACCAGGAATGCCACCCAGCAAGAAAACACTTTACAGCACCTAAGAGAGATAAGAACCACCAGCCAGCATAGCAGTAAGATGTTGCTTTTGACAAAGCAGAATTTCCTAACCTGACAATCCGTGCAGATTCTGGAAGCATGACAAAAATACAACTGTCCCCTAGCAAGGAAATGAGAGCTTTAGCATTGATTATAAAGAGATGATAAAGAAGCATGGGCGGTTTGTGGAGTAGTTTACTAAAGCCAGGAGAATTTAGAGCCAAATTAGGTTCTTGCACATAAAAATTCCCTGGAATTTAGGGTGAGTTCACACGTGGTTACTCGCTCAGGCAGTCTGCCTTTTCTCTCTGGCCAAACAGAATCCATCCAGGCTGACTCAGATCCCAGGTGAAAAGACTTTTCAATAAATTAAATATGATGATAACAGAGTTGCAGACATGGTACCAGAGCTGTGTTTTGGTTTTATTATTTTAATAATCATGCTTCAGAACAGCACCACAGCTAAGCAAGATGGGGTTCTCAGGGGTTCTCAAGGGACAAAACTTGATGCTACACTAGACAAGTATAAGCACACGCAGCAAGGCACTGCATGAAGGTCTTTGCTAGAAAGCATTGCCTCCCTCAGCCCTAAAACACTCACAAGCACCGAGCTGAATTCTCAATCCTTCAGTGTTACCATTATTAGAGTATCATTCACCCACCTGTCTGCAAACTGCCTTCTTCTCCCACCAACTGCTCCGTCTCACAACAATACCTCATTTCTGGCTCAGAAGACCAACAAAAAGCTCTCCCCTGAGCTTTGGCAGTGTCCCCACGATCCCTTGGCAGGAGGCAGCATGACAATGATTTGACAGGCATCCTCCCAAGGAGACTGCACACATCAGTCACGCTGCTGACACGCTCCACACCCGGAGGAGCTCATCCACACCAGGGGAGGTTTCTAGGTGCAGGCAGCTGCTCTTGATGGACCATCCTAAAGCAGCAGGTTTTCCTGTTTCACTAACAGCAGAACCAGGAAGCACCTCTTTGCTGTGATGGTGCTGGTGACACTGCCACGCTGGCTGGTGCTAAGTCTGCTTGAGCAAAGCGAAACAGCTTTGCTTTGAGTAGAGAGGACTGAAGTCCTATTTCTAGCCCAATGACAAAGCTACCAAAATGAAATAGCACTGCAAAAACAACTGCAAGTTATCTGTTTATGATGATCTTTTTATGATGTGCAAAAAGCCTTTCCAACAAAAAAAAAAAAAAAAAAAAAAAAAAAAAAAAAATTCTCTTCTACTTTTGAGCCCAATGACAAAGCTACCAAAATGAAATAGCACTGCAAAAACAACTGCAAGTTATCTGTTTATGATGATCTTTTTATGATGTGCAAAAAGCCTTTCCAACAAAAAAAAAATATTTCTCTTCTACTTTTGTTTTTTTTAAAGGAAACTGAAGAACTGCTCTCACATTTTCAGAGGATGAGCTGTTGTTGGGTACCACCAAAAATAGCCAACATTTACTGCGCAGAATACAAATCATCTTGATCTGAATACTCTGGCTGAATGAATGAACACTGACCCTCATCAACTGTTGTTTAAAGGATGGTCAGGATTAATAGCTTAAAAGAAGGAATAAACATAAATCTTCTCCTTTTCCTACATGAGAAAAGCAGGGCTTTGCAAGTCTCCATGAAACAATCTTAAATCTCCTGAATGACAGTCCCAAGCTCTGGCCAGTGACTCATTTCTGAAGCTTGGCACGCTGGAATGCTCTGATAGATGCAGGCAATGGGAAACTGCCTTTGACTGAGGCTTCTGCCATCTTTAAAGTATGTCCAAGGCTCCTGGCAGGTTAACTCTTCCTGCAGATAATAAATCTCTTGTGAGACAGGAAGGCTGAACAATCACATACTTCAAGACTAGCTCAATCTGTATAGTTCCAAGAACAACTTCCAGCGCAGGTGATAGCAAGCATACGATAAGCAAAGTTCCAGGAGGAATTCTGTTGAAAAAACAGAATTATGGGAAACAGACTGAGCTGCTCATTTTATGGACATAGCTGTATTCCAGCACTCAGGCAGTAAAACTAAAATGAACTCCCGCAAAGTTAAAAATGCCCAATAGAACTCAAAAGGCAAGGTAATTATTTTGACTTGACAGAGGGAGAGGACAGGTCACTCGTTCCCACAGAGAATATCTCACCTTGCTGACATCGAATGGGAACACATCTTTCAGTTAATCTGGGTTTTTTTTCCAAAACTACATTTTCTGTGCTACAGATTTATAACCCTGGCCAAGCCTGTACCACTCTGGGCTAAATAAAAAAACTGAAGTCCATAAGAAATGTAGCAGCACATGCCCCAGCAGCCTCTCTTGCGGTGTCACAGCTCCCCCCACGGGATCAGGCTGCTCAGCCACTTCATGTTCCCGGGACTGACTGTGCCCACATCCCACCCATTAACGCAGGCTCCCCGGGATCTCGGCTGTGACAGCTGCTGATCAATGCTTGTCCTGTGTGCGGGGACACGGTGAGTCAGGATGGCACCCATGGGATAAAGGCAACTTCTCTCTTTCCACCTTTTTCTTAGGAAAATGGAAACAAACACCAGTCAGCAATGGAAGGTGTTAGCTTCAACATAAGAGAATAATTCCATGATAGATGAACACCTGAATGACAGAGTCTGTATTGTGTGGGTGACAAAGGTGACATTTGCAACAGCAGCTGCCCTTGTCCTTTCTCCCACCCCCCGGGTATGGACTCACCTACTCTCATCCAATGTAACACAGCTCTAGCACAAAAGCAAAACTGAAAACTCCAGCAGGAACATTAAGGATGCATTTATTGTCAAACAGCAGCACACCAAAATAAGCAGGCAAATGTCATAGTAACTAACAAAATACAGGGGAATGCCTTGTGAATTCACCGGATTTTCGTTTCTGGCATCTTTAGAAAATGTATTTTTTTATTTGGCTGACAGGAAACCACAAAGCACAACTGTCCTGTAATTGGAACAATCAGACACACATATGGGGACAATAATTATAGGCAAAATAAACGGGTTGAAAACAGATCTGTTACTGTATTTCTAACCACCTCATACTTTTATTCTTCATTATTTGAGGGTTTAGGCTTTCAATTTTTTTCCTTATCTTGGCAGTCCCAAGATTTTTAGGTCTTGGTACTGTAGGGACCAGTTTCTAAATGTTTATTATCTGGGCTGGCAATAGTGGCTTGTTCCACTGAGAGGATAAACAATTCACTTCAACAAAGTTTGATGTTACAGAAAAATGACTTATGTTTCTCATAATTACTCAAATTGGGGAAGCAAGTTTTTTCATGAAACAAATTATGAAATTACTTGTTTGTTTAGTATTAGTCAAGAGTACTCTTATTTCAGTTATGAAAATTACAGTTTTCTTCATTATAGCCAGTCAAACCATAAGATACAATTAGCTAACAGCGTAAGTACAGCTCTTTGAAGAAAATTAAAAAGCCCCACATCCCCAAAAAACAGTTCAGTTACTTCATAAAAGGCAATAGCATGGGATTAACCCATTGCCTGTGGAAGAGCACTCTTATGAAAGCACTCTGTTCTTCAACAGAACACATGAAAGTTTGAGGAAAACAGAAATTTGTGTATGTTTAGGAGCAGGAGAACACAGAAAACATTCTCAAATGTGAGCTGTTCCAATTAAGCACCTTTATTGCAAACAAATGTTGGAAGACAACCTTAGTCCTTGACTAAAATACATCTTGTTATTTATAATCCCTGAGCCTTTTGCACCAAGATGGGAAAGGTGCGTTGAATGTACCTTCAAATAAGTCCTTTGAATTATATTCTGACAAAATACATCAGACTAAGTGAATAATATTCAAGGACAACCTTAGCTGGGTGATGTAATCAGGAATTAAAATTCCAAAGTTGCTAATATGCCTCCAGTAATTGTTTTCTACATTATATCCAAGTACCTCCCTTCATAACTGAATTTATGCTAAAAAATTGCTGAAACACAACCTTTGGCTTTGCAAAGCACAAGCCAGGTGGATTTAATTTGGGAATCCACACTGCTGTAAATGATTTTGTTCTCCCACACAGCCAAACTAAGAAAAATGTGGACAATAGCAGTAACATTGCCTTCTTCTAATCACCCAATTCCATAAATTTATTGTGTAATTCTACATTCACTTTGTCAGCAGAGAAGATATTAGAACCACTACATGGTGGCTAGTGTAGGGTTATTTATCCCATGAGGACACAAGCAGTTATGACAAATGCATTTACTTTAGACAGTATTGCTTATACAGTCAAAGGACACACCAAAAATGACAATACACATCTATAACTTGGAATGTGTGAGATGGCTTCCACCAAGCTCTCACTGCCAACGCCCTTCCTGAGAGATGCGATATTGTAGCTTAGGTTTATTAGGATTGTGTTCAATCAGCCAGTCAGCAAGCCAAATCTGTGAACAAAAAAAAAAAAACAAACCCAAATGTTTTCAGCTTTCTGTTGCTTTCTATTAAGTTCATAGAAGAATATTACAAAAGCATTATTATATATAAAAGCATTATTTGAAACCTCTGCTACAGACATTCTCCTAATTCATCCCTTTTAGAAAGAAATGGACATGCAGATGACCTCTTTTTTAAAAATGTTCTGTTAAATCCTCACGGCCTATACTGTTTTTGAACAATGCACCATGACCTTTAGAAGACAACTTGTCCTGGCAATGTTTATCTTTGTGAAAATATAAGACCATTTGAGCCATGCTTCAAATAACTCAGCCAGCTCTGTTTTGGAATGCTGCTGCACAATATGCATGAAACTGCTTAATGAAATATTACTGCTGACAACACTCAGAGATACTTCATCCAGTAATCATTCATTAAGAGTGCCAGCCTTCTGCACTGAATCACCTTACAGTACCTAAAACGTAAAACCAAAACATGGTTACTTTTTGAAATTCATCTTTTAAGTTTTCCAGCACGTTGTACTTAAATGAGAACGTGGGAGGCAGGAATGCCTTGAGTCCTAATTCCATCTGCCACTCTGGGCCTGGCCTTAGGCAAATTAACCTTTTGCCTCGATTTCTCCGCTTGTAAAGCCAAGTTTTTAACACATCCTTATTTACTTCACAAGGCTGTTGACGACTGGTTTCTGGAATGCTGAGAACAACAAACTTCATACCACACTGTGAAGAGCTGACAGAACAGCAGACAGGGAAGGTAAGCAACACTCAGCTTTTACTACCACGTATAAAAGGTTTGCAAAGGGAGAGCCAAGCAGAGCACTAGGACAGGTAAAGCAACAACAGCACAGTAGTAAGAACCCGAGACACAAATGGAAAACAAACAAAATAGCCCAAAAGACAAAACCCCTCAGGAAAACTACTTTGGAAAAAAAGAAGTCCTCAAATAATTTGAACAAATAAATGTATCCTGTCACTTAAGGAACTGGCTGAGACAACCTCTGTCCTGACAGCAAGTATTTCTGAGTGCACAGACACTTTCTGATGCCATCTGCAAAAGGAGAGGAAAGAAGAAAAGGATGCTGGGAAAAAAGCATTCCAACGGTCTCCCTGTAAGCCATCTAGCAGAAAACAAACTGAAAAGCAACAGGCAATATCTATTTCTGAAGCAGCATAAAATCAACACTATTTTCATTCTGTTACAAGGTCACAGACATTATGGACAACAAAGAAAGTGCAAATAGAATGTTTTTAGCAAAGCTGCTGACACTGCTTCATACAGCTTTCTTACAAGCAAGGAAGGAAAGCATTGTCTCGATTAAGTTACTGTTAGATACCTCATAATTGACTAGAAAATTGTGCTAAGAATGCAGATTAACTCGAAGCCAAAACAATGAGTCAGAAAGATACAACGTGCAAAAAAAAAAAAAAATCAGTATTTAATATAGTAAAGAGAAGACTGATGGGAAAGAAATAGAAATACTCTTCAAATATGCAATAGGTTACAAAAAAAAAAAAAGAAAGAGGAAAGATATTACATTGTCTCCAATGTCTTTTGAGGATAGTAAAAGGGAAAAAAAAGGTAATGGGCTTAAAATTGGAGCCAGGAGATTTAGGCTATCTTTCAGTGAAAGCTTTTAACAAGTATAATTAAACACTGAAACAGAATGCCTGGGGAGACTGTAGATTCTCCATCACTTGGAGTGGGAAACCACAGGCCAGACACACGTTTGTTAGGAACAGATACAAGTGGCTTGGCCTTTGGGCAAAGGAATGGACTTCATCTCTGTTTTCTAGATTTCTATGGTAACAGTGCCAGACATACAGACAAAGTAAACAGGTTACAAAGCTGGAACAATCAAAGTACATTAAACACGGCCTCATAGATATCACATAGTTCCTAGGAACACCCCAAATGATTTTTAAGGCCTTTTTTTCTGAAAAAAATTATCCTTTAGAAAAATGCAAGGTTGATTATAAACGTGATAATGATGTAAATCCACAACTGCCAGCAAGTTGTTGCACCTATCTGCATGCTTAAATAAGTACTGGTGTGAATGACTGGAGCTTTAAGAACATAAAGATACATTAACCATGTTTTTCCAGATGTAAGAAAACTGATTTTGTTTAGGCACTTAAAACACACCCTTGTGTCATCTCTAACAAACAAATCAATTTCTTGAAACCAAATGTTAGAGAAGCTCATCAGCTGACAGCTGAAACAGCCCAGCTCTTTACCCACAGAGTAGTTCTGCCATGAACAGGGAGTGGATCCCAGAGCTGCCAGCAGTGCTGGACACTGCACGTACCATGGGGTCTGCTGGCTTCTCTTTGCACAGGGCAGTGAGCCCTGCCAGCAGCGTGGGCTTCACATACAGGTTCAGGTAATCCCGAGCCCTTTGGCCAGTGGGAATTGGCTCCAAGATTGCTGCAAGGAGGAACCACAGGTGTTAGAAAGCAGCCCCTAGAGTGATTAAACCAAACATTCTTTCAAAGGTTGTTTATATGTGAGCTGCTCTTTTCCTTAGTAAGTTAATAGTACATCATGGGTTTTACAGCTTCTTCCACAACAAACTGCAAAGAAACTCCCTAAACTTCTTTACTATGTCCCTGAGGTAATTTTACTAGTTATAGCCTAGTATGAAAAGGGAGGAAGTCAGATCATCTGGGGAAAACCTGAATCCTTGAAGATGAATTTGGGGCAGAAGAGAAACAGTATATCCCATGTTTAGCACTTTCTTCTAGCGTGAAGCTGATTTCTGAAGACCCTAAAAATCTCACCTCTAGTCTTGCTCTAATTGTCAGGGTGAGAAGAGACATGGTTTACACAATGGGTAAGGTTTGTAAGGAACTGCAACATCTTTTATTAAACTCACTGATACAGCTGACAAAAAGTATCAGTAGACACTTTATTCTAGCAGTTTCACTTGCATCTTTCTGTCAAAGAGCAAATCCTGCTACATTACAAACCAGAGATCCTCTTGCAGCCTTTCCAGGTTCTAAGGCCCTTTTCTCTGGCACTTAACTTGGGAATTGCACTGTCATGTGAGCATCCAGCTGCTTTTGAATAGCAATTATTCCGCGTGAATCCAAGGAAAGACTGAATTGTCTCAAGTCAACCAAGGCTGACTGTGCCAGAAACACTTGCTGCAGTATAATAGCTTCCTACCTCTTCTCATTTACCAGCTTTGACTGCTCCAGTTACCAGAACAGAGTTTGAAAAGTGGGAGCAACTCTGTAAATACACTGGCTCTTCAGACAGATTTTTGGTAAGCCTTTCATAGCAGAAAATGTCAGCTTATACATAAAGAGACCCACAATCCTGTAAAGCAAACAAACCCAACCTCTCCAAATCAGTTGTATCTGGAGTCAGGGCAGGACAGGGAAGCACTTCATCCTCCCCAGGACTGGCAGTGAACCAACTGTACCATTTTACCTTCTGGAAATATGAATCGAATTTCCTTCTCTGCTGAGGAGATGCTGAGACTGCCGTGGAGCCCATTCCTCAGCTCATCAGTCCCATAGAGTGCTCTTAAGCTGAAAACAAGGGAAATAACTGCTTGGAGGGCAACTGCAAATCCCTTCCAAGTCTCTGCAGCCTGAGAGCACACAAAAGCAATATATATGGACTAATTAACAAGCACTGGTTTGCTTTTGTTTTAAACATAAGAAGTAGCTACCTAAAACTTAATGTTCATACACTCAGCATTCCCCATAAAAGAGCTGAACTTTGCATACTAAAAAACAGCAGTGAAAAGCTGTTGCACAAAACTGAAGAGATAAGAAGCCTGTGTCTGTACTGTCCAAACAAACAAATAAAATAAAAAATTAAAAAAAAAAAAAAAAAAAGGAATTCTGGTCTCAATCCAAAGAATGACAAAATAATCCTACTGACTTGCCCAAGGCTAGTCAGTGAGTTACCTGTGAGGGTGAGTTATCCTAGCTCTTAGGCTGTTGGATGGTCCCAGCAATTCCTTCCAGTAAGAGACTGCACAATTTCTAGCAAGAACCATAGCAACTATAGGACCAGAACTCATATAGGCTGTTAAATTAGGAAAAAACATTTTTCCAAATTGTTCTGCATAGAAGTTGCTACATTGCTCTGGGCTTAACTGGAGCTTCCGTTTCTATAAAGTGTAGAAGAAAAAAAAAATTAAAATGGCTTGCTACATTTAAACAGGTTAGAGCATTAAAGGCAGAATAGAGTCCTCTCCTGCAGTCACATCTTCAAGTGCAGAACACAGGGTAACTTCTGAAATTCCTCTGATTCACCCAGATACGATCCTCTTCTAGACAGAGAGTAACAGAGAGCAAAAGTTTTCCAAGTTAATTAAAGAAACAGCCCATTTGAGTAAGATGTGATTTTAGCCCAGGCAAACTACAGCAATTTCTAGCTGCCAGATAACAGAGCACTGTACAGGAAAAGTGAAGAGCATTACAAGGGCAGTATTTTATTACTCAGCTGCCACAGCATAATGTTCTACTTTTAAACAAGTTTCTCTCCAGCCCACACTGTTAATTACGCAATTGTTCTATTTTTCATTCAGTGCTTTGTGACTCTCCCAATAGCTGCCTAACCTCCAGCTGGCCAGGATCAGGACAACTTTGGGAAGCTATCAAAAACCACAGCCAAGAAAAAAAATTTTGAAGTGCATTCTTTGAGCTCAAACTTGTACAACATGAGAGTTCCACATACTCAGAGTCCTAATAATTTTGGTGTCAAAATTCACTGCAGACATCAGAAGACTCTACTAACACTATGCAATTAAATAAATAAATAATGTGTTTTATCTCATCTTCTGATATGTATTGAATCAACAGAAACACGGAATGGTTCGCATTGAAAGGTATCTTGTTTCAAACCCCCTGCCACAGACTGAGACACCTTCTCCTAGACCAGGCTGCTCAAACCCTAAACCTGGTCTTGAACATTTTCAGGGATGGAGCAGCTACAGCTTCTCTGGGCAGCCTGTGCCAGGGCCTCACCACCCTCATGGTGAAGAATTTCTTCCCAATATCCCATCTAAGCCTGCCCTCTGGCAGTAGGAAGCCATTCTCCCTTGTCCCACCACTCCATGGCCTTGTCCAAAGTCCCTTTCCAGTTCTCTGGAGCCCCTTCAGGCACTGGAAGGGGCTCTCAGGTCCCCCTAGTGCCTTTTCTTCTACAGGATGAACAAGCACAGCTCTCCCAGCCTGCCTCCGGAGCAGGGGGGCTCCAGCCCATGACCTCTTCTAGAGTAGCTCCAAGAGATCCATAAATACATATATATTAATAAATATATATTTATTAATATAAATAAATATTAAAACATAAATAAAACAGCCAGAAAGGTTATGGAGGAAGCGAAAAAAACAACAAAACGAGACTTGGCGGGGAGGAGGAGGAGGGGCCCTGCCGCCCACAGGTGCGAGGGCGCAGCGCCCCCCAGCGGCCGCCGGGCCGGGTACATTTAAATATTCATGAGCTCATTTCAATATCCATAAAGTCTATTTTCCGTAAAAACAATGGAAACAAAAAATTAGTTAGGCTGCAACTAGCCAGCTATCGAATTCAATTAATTCTCTAATATCTATTATATCTCTAATATCTTCAATTAATTATCTAATATCTAACTTGCACACTGCACAAAATCTTATGAGATCTGAATGACACATTCTCCAAGAGTTGCCTTGGAAAGCTCACACATCTGCTCCATACGTTTGCTAAATGTGAGTTTATTAATAAAGTCCGTGTTTTCCTGTGGTCACCAAAATAGCTGGTCTGCTCTGCTCCATCCCATGCACCAAAAAGCATCTCCTTACAGAATCTGGCAGCAATGTTTAATGACACGAGGAACATTAATTGATTTTTGGACACACAAGCTTTTAGTTACTGGCTTGATTGCTAGAAGTTAAATATTTTCCTAACTTATAAACTACAGCTATTTTCTCTGGAGCACAGCCTGTTACCTGAATGATGTGGAATCCTGATCGGAGAATGAGATCCTCTATTTCTTCTTCTTTATCAATGACATCTGGTTTGATGATAGCCAGAGTTCTTTCCACAAAAATCTGAGGTTCAGGCATTAAGACTTCCATCCTGGCTTCTAAATTAGAATTCACTTGCCCCTTTTGTACTGCAATGACATCAGCACATGACATTTGGAATTTGTCTACTGCACAGTCACCTATGGTGACACTCACCATGTACCCCAGGAACAGAAAGGGTCACACCCACCTCACAAAATCCATGTGAGATCTTCTCTGCACTTGCTACCACTCTGTAGTTCACATTCCCATTTTCAGTGCAGTGGCATTTTGTGGAAAATAAGGCCAAAATTTAATGTTGTTATTCACTAAGTTGGACAATGTGTGAGGAGGGAGAAGCATTATCACACACCCTGATGTGGGCGCCCTGTGCTCCCACACTCTCCATCCACCACGGACTCCTTCAAACCCCAAATCTGTACCCTCACATGAGGACTGTGGGTGGGACTAATGACTTGGAACTGGTCCACCGTAAGGCTTGGGGTAATTTCTCAATGGTTATTTAATTCCTGTATTTATGGGCTCCAAACAATGTGCTGGTTTTCTGACTGAGCAGACACACTGGCAAGCTGAGAGCACAGAATTGTGTTGTGAGTGGTGGAACCAGTGAGGGGGTTTCTGACAGACCTGTCTCCATTTGTAACCTTGTTTTTCATCATGGAATGGTTTGGGTTGGGAGGGACCCTAAAGACCATCCAGTTCCACCCTGCTATGGGCAGGGACACCTCCCACTGTCCCAGGTTGCTCCAAGCCCCATCCAACCTGGCCTTGAACACTTCCACGGATGCAGCAGCCACAGCCACACTGGACGAGCACCGGAGCCTCACCACCCTCAAAGTCAAGAACTGCTTCCCAGTATCCCATCTAACTCTGCCCTCTTGTCGGCGGGAAGCCATTCCCCCTTTTTATGCGTCTCCCTGTCCTTGCCCAAGTCCCTCTCCATCTCTTTTGGAGTCCCTTTAGGCACTGGGAAGGGATCGAAGGTTTCCATGGAACCTTCTCTTCTCCAGGCTAAACCCCCTCAGCTCTCTCAACCTTTTAGAGAGAATTGCGAGCGCAGGACGCTGCGGGGGATCCTAACAGAGCCTCAGAGAGCCCAACACAACAGCACCTGCAGCCCTTCCCTCGCCCGCTGCCCGCCGCGTCCCCCCGCTCCCTGGCTCTCTCAATCCGCCCTGCACCAGACCCAGACACGCAGACCCTGCCTGGCTGCTCCCTGCTGCACAGTCCGCTTGTAACCCCCAAATGCACCTGCCTTGGGGCCCGGCCTGGCTTTGCTATCCCGGCCTCCGGGGCTCCGCCGGACCCGCCGCCGTTGCCGGGCGATGGCGGCGCCGGCCCCGGGCACAAGATGGCGCCCGCGAGCCTCGGCGGGGCGGGACGAAGATGGCGGCCGGGAGCGCCGCGGTGATGGCGGCGGAGGCGGAGTACGCATCAGGGTCGGGATTGCCGCGGGCTCCGCGCACACAACGGAGACCGTGGCTGTCCTAGAATGGGCTCTGCGTGTGGTGCGGCTGTAAAGGGCGGAGTGGCGTGATCTCCGGGGCTTATCTCAAAATCCTCATTCCTCCCTGACAGTAAAAGCTTTATGTCGGTTTCACCTCACGCTCAGAACTGCTGAGGGAGCCACGCGCTCACAACAAACGCTCATGAAGCGACGTGGCGCGATTATTGGCGGGGAAAAAATAAAGGAAAAGCCAGCAGTCGTTCCAGGTCATTTACCAGCGTTTGTGGGGAGGTTTCCTGTGGACGCGCCTCAGCAGCGGCAGCGGGGCGGGAGCTGCAGCGCCCCGAGGCACAGCTCTCTAATGGTGGCTCTCAGCACTGCGAGCGACGTACAGCGGTTACCGGTGCCACTTCACGTTTAAGACAAAAAGGTGTAATGAATAGGAGACCTTCACCGTTTTGTGCATTAAGCCATCATGAGCTGGGCATTAAGCAGAGCTGGGGAGCCGCGTTCTCTGGGGATTTCCCCCAAATTTTACCTCCGCGGTGCCAATGGCTTTGCTCCCCACACATCCCCTATTTCCCCGGCTCTCCGGGGGCAGCCGGCTGGCAGGAACTGGCTGTGCAGTAGCCACTGTCCACCCACCGTGACCCTCAGCGGGTGCCCCGGTGTCACCTCCCGTCCTTGTTTACCGGCGCTCCCGGATGGAGCCGGGCCAGCTGGCCGCGCTATCGGGGCGTGGGCCGGTGAACGGCCCCGATAACTGCGGCGTGCCTCCGCCGCCCTGCTCCTCTCTCCCCCTGTGCCTCGCCCCCTCTCCTCACCGTGTTCTCATAAAACTCTGGGATCCGAGGTGCTGGAACACCTGGGGCTCGCGGCTGAGTTCAGCCAAAACTGGACATTGCGCTCAGACCCCTGAGGTGACACTGACAAAGGGACAGAGAGAAAACACAAGTGTGCAGGTTTTAAATTTTAATGGTGTCAGACTGAAAAAGGCAAAGGAGGAAAGACAAAAAATCCCCTAGGATTTGGAGCCAGAGGAGCTGACACTATATGCCCTGGTTAAGTGAGGAAATAGCAAATTTACAGCAAAAGCTGGTTTTAGTGTAAGAAAAACCCATTTTGCCGTAATCCTTTTAATGAGTAATGTGAATAATATAGAAACAAGAAATAAAAAGATGCAGTTATTTCCTTGCAGCCAATTTGAAATATATTAAAAAAACTGAAGACTGACATTGTTATTCATACACCTTAAAAAATAAAGGTTCCAAATACACAAGACAAATTCAGATACAGGCTTTCCTTCACCAACACAGGCACATAGCATTTGTTTCTTTAACCCTATCCAATATTTAATTTGAAGACATTGTAAACACTGCAACTTCACAGCGATAACAGATAAACCTGTTTTATTTTTTAAGACATGCTGATAGAAAAGAATCCATCAGTTTTTTAGTTTAGTTCAGAGTTAATTCAGCAAGTCATTTCTTTTCAAAGTCAACGAGCACAAGTCTGACAGCCCTTGCTTAAATTTAGCAGTTCAAAGGCTTCCTCTGCCTGCATGAACACTTCAGAATTATTCTTACATAAGAAATGTTGAATTTAATATCTGTGTTTCACTGTGAACATGAATCTCCTGCAGTTTCTTTACTGTGTGCATTTTTTTCAAAGCACCCAGGACACGAACCCCAAGCACCTTGCAGCGCAGCCCGAGGCTGGGTCCGGAGCAGGGCCCTGCACAGCTCCCTGCCCACCCGCTCCTCCGGCTGTGTCACAATTCCTCCCTGTTTCCAGAAGCATTTCTGGAGGGCGGGGATGCTCTAATTTTAGTACGGGGAGAATCCTCCTCTCTCCAATGAGCGAGCGGCTGCATCTGGAGCTGCAGCCAATTACCCGGGTTTCCTCCTGCTGCACTTCCCACGATGGTTTAATAATGCAGAAGCACAAATTTAAAGTGGCCCCACACGTTAAGAGAAAATGACATTATGTGCTCCCTAACCAACAGTAGTAGAATCTCCAAGGTTTCTCTCAAGCATTGGATTCCATATAAACCTGACCTTAAAACTATGTGTTAATATCATTATGTTTATTGTCTTTACAGAGCTTGAAATAATATTTCTGATAGCTAAAAGGCTGGTGTGAGGCATCTTCTGTAACTTCTGTAGGCCAGGGATGTGCTTTTTGGAAAAGAAACAAAACAAAAAAGGAAAATTATAACTACAATGCAATGAACAACTGGGATTCTGAACACTTCCCAGGGCACAGCCTGGCTGCTGTACCTTATCTGTTAAGCGGTTTAACAAGCCTTAGTTGTCACTTATTTTTAGCTGGCATGGAATACACCATCAAAAGATTGTGCCTGCAGGTGCATTTACATCCCAGCAACACCAGATAGTAACATTTTAATAAAAAAAATTATTTAAGAGCTTTGCCCTCTGATAGTGCAAGAAAGTGCAAAAACTAATGTCTTGCAGACTGTTAAAAAGGAAAGAAAACCAGAATGATGAAAATAAGATAAGAAAAGCTAAAGAACTAATACCAACTGGTAAAATGGATTAAAAATGAAGCTTGCACATCTTTTAGCTTTGTTTGCATTTTGATGTTAAGGAGAGAAAAATGTGTTTGCTCCAGCAGCAATGTTCTAACTGCACACTTACCACACATACAACTTCCATCCACCACGGGCTCTCTTTCCTTTATTTCTTTTCATGATGAGGTGTCATACCTACCCACAGCACCAGCTTACCTTCAGTGCTTGCTCCACCCATGCATGCTCTTGCACTGCAGAGTGACGGAAATCCTGCGATCAAGGCAACTTCCTCTCCCACATGCCTGCTCCCTCCATTTCTGCCTTCTCACAACTAAACAATTCTCCTTCTGCTGCTCATCTGCACGCTTGTAATCCCAGTGAGCTTTTCATTGCTGCTGCTTAACCCTTGTCAAGCCTTCCTGTCTGTTTTCCTCCACTTGTTATCTCACCATTTTCTGTAAAGTGATAAAATATTCTCTTCATGCTTCCTCTGTCTACAAGTCTCTATGTGGCAGTAACAAAAAGCTTATCAACATGTCTTCTGTAACTCCATCACTTGCCCTGGTAACTTCACCCCATTTCATTTCCTGATCTTCCCAACATTCTCTTTCATTTGTTCACAGCTTTAGTCATTCAGTCTGCTCTGATTCCTAGCACCCACAGAGATATGCTTGTCTCTTTTATAATTAAAAAAAAAAAAACAAACAAAACATGAAAAAAAAGTGCCTTTGGTATAAGTGCCTCTTGTACCTCACAGGTTCTTCCAGTCACATCTCTCTGTTTCTTGTTGGGTTCTACCCAAAATCCCCATCAAAGTTGGTTTTGCTTCCTCTTATCTGAAAGCTTCTCAATCCATTTTAAGCCAATCTCTTGTTGGCCCTTCAGTCACATTTAGCTCATGTCTCAGCTTAGTTTTTGCAGCCTTTGGTATAAGTGCCTCTTGCCACCTCACAGGTTCTTCCAGTCACATCTCTCTTTCTTGTTGGGCTCTACCCAAAATCCCCATCAAAGTTGGTTTTGCTTCCTCTTATCTGAAAGCTTCTCAATCCATTTGAAGCCAATCTCTTGTTCGCCCTTCAGTCACATTTAGCACATCTAGCTCATATTCAGCTTAGTTTTTGCATTTTTTTCCTCACTTTTCACTTTTCCAGTCACTGTTTCATCTTGGTTTGCCAGTCCCTTCTTCCCTTGTGTTTCTTTCCTTTTTCTGCAGGAGCACTGGTGAGCACTGTCCTTGACTCTCCTCCCTTTCCTCCAAGCTCACTGTACCTTTTGTTTCACTGTCTGAAGACATCTCCTGTTTCCTGGCAGCCCTACAAATGAATCCCACTGCTGCCCTTTCAGATAAACCCCTTCCTGCTTTATCCCACCTTGTGGCTCAGGATGAGCTCCTGCTGAACACCTGTAGAGGCTGGGGCCGACAACTTATTTCCTGTAAAGCTCCTCCTCATCTATATACAGACATTCTACACAAATACTGCATATAGGTATCAGGCTTTCACCTAAACTTTAGAGCAAAAACACCTGCATGTGTTTGCTGCTTCATTGTTCTAGACAATGTTTAACCTAATGCTTGCTTGGATTATCCCTGAGGCCACCAAGCTCAGAGACAAGTAGTCACTGTGATCCTACCACAATGAAGAAATGAAGGTATGAATAAACCAATAAAAATCTTTTATCTAACAAATTAAAAGAGGCAATTGGTTAAATAAGATTTTAAGATATATTGTCAATTCCTACTTAAAGACATCTTCTATTCATCTTAATTCCATGTACCATAAGGAATCCTTTTTGCCATACTTATTTTGAGCCATTACATCAGTCCTATCATTAAAATATAAGGGATTACTTGCATAGTTGTTATTATTGTTAATAAAATGTATTTACTCATGCTGTGCATAAAGACTAACTCAAACAGAAGTTTCCTATAACATGGTATTTGGTGTCGAGTAGGCAGTCTGTGACCTGAGATACAATCAACTTAGACAAGACAGGCATAGGATGTGGGAAACAGAAATTACACCAAGTTTTAAGGCAGTGGATGATATGTTGTTTCTCTCTTTTTTTTTTTAATTTTCTTTTTCAGAAGAGAAGCTAGAAAAATCAACAGAAGGGAAATAAATAGGAAATGGAGGATGACCAAGAAAAAGAAGGAAATAATGAAGATGGGTATGGGATATGGGACAAAACCCGTATGAACAGACAGCAAGGGCAGGGCTTGGCATAAACTGCAAGTTTGATAGAACAGCAGAATTAGACCCAAGATCAGAAGGTCCATATGCAAGTAAAATTCAGTGGAATTTCAGTCAACACCATGAATAAACATAGCAATTACAGGATTAAAAAATGGCAAACAATGACAGTTTTTTGGTTTTTTTTTTCTCAGCAGTAAATGTGTCATACAGGGAGAATTACCACCCAAGAAGGTATGTGTGTACTTTTCTTTGACTAACCACAGTCTTTGAGTGGGGAGTGAAAAGCAAGACCAAAACCCAAGTCACAGCCCAGAGGAATTCTTTAAAATTCTCTGTGGCATGATGGGGCCTGGTGAGACAAAAAATAATCACAACGACCCATATTCTCAAATTTCTCAGTCCTTGATGTCTAGATGCATAAAGAATGACTTTGTTAGCTGGGCCAGTCACAGTTCTCAAACCAGGCTGCTAAGGCAGTCTACAACCACATGGTTATCCTGCTCTTGGATATGGGACATAAAAGGGCCCCAAAAGGGAATCACAGAGAGCTCTGCCAGCTGGGACCTGCTGCTTGGAATTGCCAGGGTGGGAGATTGAGAGGGACCTCACCAGGAGAAATGGGCAGTTGGAAATGAGCATGGCTTTTTGTTATTCAGAAACAGGAAAACACTTGACAAAGTGTCAGTGGTAGGGAAGGACGAGACAGGTTCAGCAAAACAAAAAAAAGAGAACTGAAGAAATACCAAGAGAAGAGAAAGGAAAGGGAAATATATGTAGAAGTCCCAATGAGATGACAGTCATTCACGTTCTTAGCAAGACTTGATGAAATACAAAGCAGATGTTATGGGCAGTGAATCTTGCAAGAAAATGAAGTTATAAATATATAATCCAGATCACTCGGGTTATATGCAACAGCTGAGCCCGACAGACCCATGCCAAGTGCTGCAAATTTCAGTTTACTCTCAGGTTCTGGTCTGTAAACTTGTAACTTCAGCACAGACGCACTTCTGCAGTCACCTGCCACAGCTGCATGCACAAAAGGCTGCAAAAAGAAGGTGGGCAGGGAACCAGTGCAGTGGCATTCACCACTTCAGCCGTGCAGCCTCACCGTGGCCCTGGCTACCTGTGACTTAACCAAAGGTGTGGTATTGTCCCACTAGGCAGGCTGTCAGCACAGGCTAAGGGAATGCACTTAGCTGACAGACAGATGGTTGTAATCACAAACCACATGTTTTTGGTACAGAACCTGAGGGGTTTAAAATCTAAGCCAAAGCTGCTTGAAAAATCACAAGAAGCCCCCTTGCTGGATGTGGGGTAAGCTCCTCTGACATGGCATCAATTATGGTGTCTTATAAAAAAATTATTTGCTTCTAACATTCTATTAAAAGTTCAATACAAGAAAACAATATAAAAATATATTCTCATAAAGATGAGCATCTGTGTCAGCCAACATCTACAACCTGTCCTGAGGACATTACAACTTTCAAGTGTACTGGCCCTGCTCCCTCTACTATCTTTACTGCCCTGACTTCATAGAATGTTTTTTTACAAAGTTCAGCCTAAAGTTGTGGTTGAGAGTTTGTGTATAGCATACCCTACCCTGGCTACTGACAGGCATCCCTAAAGATGAATTCTGATCTACTTTATTTAGGATAAAAACTGTTCTAAAAGCAGCTCAGCTGAAGGACACTTTATGATCCAGACCAGATCACTTAAAATGTTTCTCCTGTTTCAATTAACAGATAGCTGTGGGCACTCCTGAGTTTTAACAGCAGATTAAAGTTGAGCCACAAGCCATATTTGACAGAGGGTGGAGCATTAATGTGTGCACTCATTACTGCAGTAAGTTAGGTAGTAATTGTTACTTCTTGCCCACAAGCAAAGGGCTTAACTTTCAGTTTTATTTAAAGACGTGTAAGCTTTACCTGTACATCTAGAAGGCAAAATCTGCCCCTTTGGCGTGGACAAACAGGACACCAGGAGCCCTATGCCATAAAACAATGTCTGGTTACAGGGAGCAGTTGTCTTCTGGACTTCTCACCCACAACTTTGCCAACAAGGCTGACATATCCTTGGGCAAAAGGAATTAAGGCCCGGGCACGTGCTCAGCGCTCCAGCCCCGGTTATGTAATATCCAAATCTAAGTTTAAGAACAACAAACTCTGGCCCCTCTCGGTTGCAAAACCAGCAGAGCTGGAAACATTAAGCAAACCTCTCGTCCTGGAGTAACTGACTCAGTGCCCGTAACACACCTCGGGCTAAACCAGGGCGGCACTGCGAGCGGAGCACAGCGCTCCAGCGCAGCCGGACCCTCCCGTGCGCTGCCCGCGGGCCCGGCCCCGCCACCGTGCTGGGAGCGCGGCCCCGATCCCGATCCCGATCCCGATCCCGATCCCGATCCCGATCCCGATCCCGATCCCGATCCCGATCCCGATCCCGCCGGCAACTCCCGGGCCCGCCTCGCCCGCCTCTCCCCGCATGGCCCCGCCCATCCCAGCAGTGCAGCCAGCAGCGAGAGCAGACTCTCCTGAGTGACAGGCGGCGACGCCCAACCAGGACGCGCCTTGTTGCGGTGTGGCGCAGGCTCCGGCGGTATAAAGGCGGCCACGCGTCGCGGGCGCGGGCCCGAGTACGTGTCTGAGGGGGAGGCGGCGGTGGCGCCGGTGCGGAGCAGCCGCGGGGAGCGGGATCGGCTCCAGCACCAGTGGCGGGGAGGTTTTAATTAGACTTCGGTCAGCCCGGGTTTTATCGGGAGCGGATTTTAAAAGTGAGTACGAGCGGGATGGCGGCGGCGGGAAGGGGGAGGGGTGTGAGCGGACCGGATCAGACCGGCCCGGCCGGGGAGGAGCCGCCGCGCTGACCCGCGCTCGTCTCTCGCAGGCGTCTCTCGTCCCTCTGCCTCTGCGGACGGGGCACCATGTCGGAAGCGGAGCAGCAGCTGGCGGCCGGCGCCACCCAGAACGGGCACGAAGCGGCCGAGAGCGCCGGGGAGCAGCAGGCCGAGACCGGCGCGGCCGCTGCGGCGGCGGGAGCGGCAGGAGCAGCGGGAGCGGCGGCGGCGGCGGCGGGAGCCGGCCCAGCGGCGGGAACGGCGGGCACGGCCGCCAGCCAGAATGGGGCCGAGGGCGACCAGATCAACGCCAGCAAGAACGAGGAGGACGCGGGGTAAGCGCGGGCGCCATGCGCGGAGCGCCGGGCCCGGCGCGGCCCTGCGGCGGCAGCGCCCCCGGGCCCGCTCGGGCCGGCGGGGAGGGCGGCGGGAGCGGCCCCGCCGAGCCGGGGCCCTGCAGCACCAGCGCTTCCTTTGTTCTGGCGCTGCCTTTTGTTGGCGCCATGTGGCGGCTGGGGGAGGGGCGCCGAGCGGGGCTGTTGCCGTCTCACGCTGTAAAATGGAAGGGGATTTACCTCTCCCGCGTTTTCTTCTTCCTTTCCCTCTTTAGCGAAAGGGGCGGATGGAAGGAGTTGCTTTCTGTTGGGGGAGGGGGGCTGGCTGAAACTTTGCGGGGATCGCATGGCCCATGGCCAGTGGCGTCGATGTAAATGTGAATGTTTTTGTAAAGCACATAGAAAATAATCCTGGCCTTGGAAGGCAGCGGGGGTAACCTTAGTATTTTTTAAGGGAAGTAAAAGAAAAATCGGCACGATTGAGATAATGCGCGGTGTGTTTAAATCGGTAAGAGCTATTTTGGTGTGCTACTTTGCAGCATTGTCAGAAAATGCCTTAAGTCTTGCAAGGGATTTCTGGAGGAGTCAGAGTAGTTTCGCTGTGCTTTGGTGGTGGAATCCTTGTGTATACAAGAGGAATTTCGTTCCTATCGCAGTTGTTCTGTTCATAAACACACATACTTGACACGAACATTACCTGGCTTGTTTCTCAAGCAGGTCTTTGTTATTCAGGCTACCCCATGTATTTAATTGGAACTCCCTTTGTTACCGCTGAGCTCTGAACCAGAGGGTCAGATCCCTTAGGTTAAACAGAGCGCTGAAGCCAGTGTAATAGATTTTTGACTATAAAGGAATGAGTAACACTTGCACAAGCTTCCCACAAGCTGGGGCCGGATGTACTCTTTGCGGACACTGGAAGGATTGCGAACCAGGCCTTTTAGCTCTGTACGAATTTTTCTTTACTGTTTCTAGTATTTTGTGCTGAAAAAAGGGTGATGGTATTTTCCTTTCATGAACAGGTGACAAGCTTCAGCCCCAAATCGGTATGAAATGAAACTTCTTAGAACAGCACTTATTCAGAGGGATTGATGTATGTGAAAAACGTAGCGCTGTCCAAGGCACTGATTTTACAGTGTTTTGTTATGAGCTAAAATAAGCTTCAGTTTAGCTGCACAAATACACTCAGGAGGGAAAAATGCGTGCTAAAGGTGCAGTTGTCCAGTTTGTGACCTCTAAAGGAAACGCCAAATACCGTGGTTTTGGTCTCAGTTTCCAAGGTTCAAAAGTTTTAAATATTGTGTTATTTAAATTAGGTATCAGTTTTTCCAGTTACAAAACAAAGCACTGCAAGTTGCAAAGTGTAACACAAAGTGCTGTGGTAAGAGGTGAGTTTAGCATGTGGCAATGCCATAAAGCAGCCAAAGCTGCCTCCAGACAAATTCCTGTCATCTTCCAATCTTTCATTGTTCAGTAAGTGTGGTCAGCGCTGACAGGGTGTGCTGTGGAAAGCCTGTCAGTCCGTACAGGTTAGAGCAGCCACAGTCAGCTCTTGGGAGGGAAGGAGTTCCCCAAGCCCCTTTCCTTGCCCTGGTGTTGAGAGGTGAATAAACTTGGCTAGGCCGTTCCTCCGAGGCTCTGCTGTAATGGCTGCAGGAAGCACACGCTGTATTTGGAGCCGGTGTTTCCTGCTGCACTCATCAAGGGCTGCTGAAAAAACTTGACTTGAGCAGATAAAGGGTTTGGTTTCACCCAGTTTAAGAAAAAAAGGGAAAACACCCCATAAGGTTCCCCCCCCCCCCCCAATTTCCTCTTGTACATAAACAGATGCCAGTTATTGCAAAGTTACACATAAGCACCAAAAGCCAATTTTATTTAAGCACAGTTTAATTTCTGAAGTGCTGCTACCTTCTAGTGCCAATCTAGGTTGCCTCCAAACAGGAGTAATGACAACTTAAACTGCTTCAGTCTATAGTTAGATAGAAAGGCTCGAATGCTTTTAAAAGCTTAGTTTGTTACCTTGGAAACTACAAAAATAGAAAATGCAGCCATGTTATTAATGTTTTCATTTGAAGCGAAGCGTTTGAAAAATGCCTTATTGCCTGCTTTCACTGTTCTGTTTGTTAGCTTCACTTCAGTATTGTGCCTTGAATTTCGTTCTTTGAGCTAGATATCCTCCTTCAGAGGGTATTTTGTATGGGAAAGTGGGCAGGGAAGAACTGTATCCGCCTACTTGGAATTAAAGACTGAGGATGGAGAGACTCCTGTAGTACTGAGGAAGACAGACCTAGAGTCAGTAACTAAGCAGGAAGAAGTGCACAACATAGTAGTTAAGGCAGGTCCAAAGTCCCATCTGTTGTATGTGAGTGTTACTGGAGGTCACAGATACCCGGACTAAAATTTTCACAGCTGTTTAACCAAAACTTAAGAGAGCTCAAATACTTTGCTTTTGATACCTTATTTGCTGAATACTTTCAGAGCAGTAGGAATGATCCTAAGCTCTTTGCAAAAACTTGAGTTGGCAGTACTTGATAATCAATACTGCTTTCTGGCAAATTATAGAATACTTTTGTTCAGAACCTAAGTTACTGGCAAGGAATATTTCAGGCTATTCTTATTAATTTTTGTATCCTCTAAACAATGGCAGGGTGCATTGTGGCATTCCCTCAAAAAGAGAGGGAAGAATCCCACCCTTGCACTCCTGTAATATCAGCAGCTTTTGAGAAGATGCAGGTGTTGCACTTGGAACAGACAGTCCTGTTCTGACAATGCTGCTGAGGTGTGTACCACTGAGCATCTTACTGCATCTGCTTTCCTCTAGTGCTTCCTGAATCTGAATAGCTCTTCTCTCCTTGAAATTTCAGGAAGATGTTTGTTGGTGGCCTCAGTTGGGATACAAGCAAAAAAGACTTGAAAGATTACTTCACCAAATTTGGTGAGGTAACCGACTGTACGATAAAGATGGACCCTAACACAGGAAGATCCAGAGGCTTTGGATTTATTCTCTTCAAAGAACCTGGGAGTGTTGAAAAGGTGAATTTAAGCTTAGTATTTTAGATCTTTAACATCTAGGGGAAACTTTTCAGCTTGAGTTAATCATAACAAACTGTCTTTTAGGTTCTGGAACAGAAAGAACACAGACTAGATGGACGACTAATTGATCCCAAGAAGGCCATGGCAATGAAAAAGGATCCAGTGAAGAAAATATTTGTTGGTGGGCTAAACCCAGAAGCTACAGAAGAGAAAATCAGGGAATACTTTGGAGAGTTTGGAGAGGTGTGTAATGGTATCTTAGCAAACTCTGAAAGTATAGTCTCCAGTTGCTGTTTAGTTTATTAATAATTTGCAAGTTTCAAAGTAAGTTAACTTCAGATGTATCAAGTCTTCTGTAACATCCAGAAGTTTCCCTACTTGAGAGCAAAGGTGGCACTTATTGCACTAGGTGCTTCATTGCTAGAGACCCTTGTCTTAAAGCATTTAAAAACCAGTTTGAAGAGTTGTAAAATGGAAATCTTGGCTCTGAAAGCCACTGTTAGCATAGAAAGGCTTGCAACTTTGGTGTTGCATAATATGCATAAAGAGAAAATTTACAGTTTTGCTGTCCTAGTTTCTGTGCATTTAACTGTTCATCTAAAACATGAGTCTGAAAATAGTATTTTGCATCTTCAGATTGAAGCAATTGAACTGCCAATGGATCCAAAGACCAACAAAAGGAGGGGGTTTGTGTTCATCACTTTCAAGGAAGAGGATCCAGTGAAGAAGGTTTTGGAGAAGAAATTCCATAACGTCAGTGGAAGCAAGGTAGAAACTCTGACTTGCAACTCTTTGTCCATGGATAATACCTCCACATCTATAACCTGAAAAGGCTTTTGTAGACCTCTTGTGTCAAAGTACCAAATTTACAATAAGGACAGCCCTAAGCTCTGTCATAGAGGCTACTAAAGCTCTTTGACAATACTTGTAATTGCTGTCTTTTAGGACTTTTTGTATATTAAGTATCTAATTGCATTCATGAAATATATGTGGAGAAATTGGCTCATGTGTCAATGTAGCAGTGTAAGCACTCCAGCAGGTAGATGCCTATTTTCAGCATAGAGCACTTGCACAAAGGAAAGCCTTGCAGATGCCTAATTTTGCAAGCATCTGGCTGAAAGTGGCTCTGTCTGCTGGGGGACAGCTTTTGCTTTCTTCTCTCTGGAGCCCCTTTCTGTAGCCCCCCTGCTACCCAAACCTTGCCATGTAAACCCACTACAAGGATCCAGGGAGTGAATGTACACTTATGGAAGTTTGTGCTTGGTTATGGGAGCTACTGTAAGGGTGGTGTGAGGTGCTCTGACCAGCTGAGGGGACAGCTAATGGAGAGAGGCTCAGGGATCCACAAATGTAGAGAGACTGGAGGCAAATGATGTGTACTGGCTCGAGGTGTCCCTGTTCCCTTGCTCTGAGGCCAGTGCTGACCACATAATTTCAGAGCCTTTTTACACTGGGTCATACTGTCTGACACTGACTTGGATTGCATTTGGTTTAGGACTGGTCTTGACAAAATACAGAAGAAATTTTTACAAACCTAACGCAGTGGGAAAGTCACTGGTTAGCAGTGAAGTTCATTTTTAGGAGAGATGGATGCCTAAATGTCAAGAGAGCTGAGAAATTCCTGTATCATATCTATGACTTCTTTTTGTGTTACAACCATAGATAATAAAAAGCAGATTACCTTAAAGGTCCTGTGGTAAAAACTCCAAGCCAGGCTTGCTCAGGTGCTGTTGTTCCTTTTGCAGCACAGTAGCTTTAATCCTGGTCTGTGCACAGATCCAGGAACCTGGCAATTGGCTGACAGCTTGAACTGCAGCCTGGGAACCTGCCTTGAAAATGTCAGTTCTGGTTGGTTTTACCTGTTAGTATTTGATAAATGGTGATTTCAGGTGTTGGTAGGGGTGTGGTACAGTCCATCCACATACACACTGTGTAAGGTGTTCAGTGTCTGCTAGGAAAACTCCTTCTGGTGCAGTTCCCAGAACCTCGTTCATTCAGTGCAGGTCAGGTGAAGCAGTCTGATAGCAGCAGCCTTGTCCTGGAGGTTGTGCCAGGTGAGAGGACAGCCTTGTGTCTCCTGCAGGAGAGGTGGCCTCAGCACCTCTCCCATGGTGAAATGGATGGTAGGGAATAGGCAGGATAAAATGCTCTGAAAGCAGTGGCCTCTTGGAAAGGCTGACAGCAACTTACCTTTGCCCAGGTGGCACAATAAATTACATGTCCCTGGATGTGCATTAGTGCTGCTCACCAGCACAGCACGTACGCCTCCTTTGCCTCCAGAGGAACCTCTGGCTTCTCCAGGCGCTCAGGTGGGGCAGTGCTGCTCTGAGACACTTCACATACTCTTCCTTGTTTTTTATTTGCAGTGTGAGATTAAGGTAGCACAGCCAAAAGAAGTGTACCAGCAGCAACAGTTCAGTAGTGGTGGAGGAAGAGGTAGCTATGGAGGAAGAGGCAGAGGTGGAAGAGGCGGCGGTAAGTACCACACACACTACTTTAGTATGGACACATTCTAAATAAGTTGTGTGTACTAAAATGGGATTTTGTGGATGGTTTTCCCTTCTATAGCTCAAAGTCAAAATTGGAATCAAGGTTATGGCAATTACTGGAACCAGGGTTATGGGAATCAAGGATACGGCTATCAGCAAGGTTATGGTGGCTATGGAGGCTATGATTATTCAGGATATGGGTATTATGGATATGGACCAGGCTATGATTACAGTAAGTAAAGAGAACTGTATTGGGTATAAGCAAGCATAACTAATTAGCAGTTTAATGCATTTGTTTTCTTGTTCATAGGTCAAGGCAGTGCAAATTATGGGAAGACACCAAGACGTGGTGGTCATCAGAATAACTACAAGCCATATTGATCAAACTTATTCAGGTATGCAGTGGCATGGTCTCTTTTGGAAAATGACTGCATAGGTTTTGTATACAATGCTGTAGATGGATACTTCAGTTCTGTACCAAATTTAACTTTACAATAAATTTCTATGGCCTGTTAAATGTGCATCTTACTTGGAAGAGCTCCCTGGAAATGTTTTACATGTTTAATACTTACCAATAACTAGTTGTCTAGACAGTGTGGTGTGTAATTTTCAGCATTGCTGAAGATATTAATTAATGATTTTATTAATAGGTTAAACTGAAACTGATTTTGAGGGTCTGCTTAAAGCTGCAGCTCTGCATCTAGGGACTGCCTCTTGGAGTTAACTGTGGACTCTGCATTACTCCAGTTGTACAGAATGAGATGCATCTTAGGGAACCAGTGTCACTTTCCACCTTTTTATTTTGTATTGTTTTTGTGTCATACATTTCCTGTAATGGAAGTGTTAATTTTACTGTACTTTTTGGTACCTTTTTGGAATCTAATGTATTGTAAGGTATTTTACATGTGTTCTGATTCACCATGACATGGATATTGAAGCTGTCCTAGCTTTTGAAATAAAAAAGGCGTAATCTAGTGTCTTGTGCCATTCTTCAGCTCATGTGTTAGTAAAACACCAGTATCCTGTTCCCAGAACTTAGTTCATGGCAGTACCTTGATAGATTAAGAGTTGTGCTTTAATGTTTTTAATCTTAAAACTAGAAGGCTGTGTTGGTAGTTGTGCTCCCTTGCAGATAAGTGGCAACTAAAGCCTGCTGTCACTTCTGCCTGGAGGTTGTGGAGGAGAGCTCAGGTGAGAAGCCCCAGCTGTGGTGGGGCTGTGCTGGTGAGATGGTGGCTCTGCTCTAGGCAAGCACAGAGTAACTCTAGTGGTGTCTGCTTTGGGCTCTGCTAGGAGGAGCCAGAGCTGTAGGGTTCAGGTAGGGCTTGGGAGTCTGGACAGCATTGCAGGAGGGAGCCAAGAGGTGTGCAAGAAGCTGGCTGCACTTCCTCCATATTTCACTGTCTTGATTCTGAGACTTGTCTGCAAGTTGTTAATAGGCTGTGTATGTCTGCCTTGAAAGGCAGGTTGGACAGACATTAAATTACCAATGCAAAGTCTGAGTTTTTGCAGCCTTTTGTATAATAGAAAAGGCTCAAAGAACTTCCACTGTGGGTGGAAAAAACATCTCTCTCTCTAGAGATGAGTGACCAGCTAGAAATACCCTTCTTTTTTGACATTACTGTTAGTTTACTGCTATTTTAAGGCAATAACTGTCACGTGATTTGCCTGTCTTGTTGCAGAATATAAGTAGCAAGCTCTACTGCATAAAGTAGACTTCTGATCTTTGTTGCAGTGATCAGTTCAATATTAATCTCCTTTTAAGGCTGAAACCTGGCAATTTTTTTTTCTTGTAACAAATTGTCTTTGAACAAGTAACACCTGGAAGTGGAATCAAACCAAGTAACTAAGACAAGAAACAAATGTGTGTTACTAGTGACCTTTCTAGTTTTTTTAACAAGGGATGCAGCTATTTCTGCATGGACTATAATCTGCTGCTCCCTGCTGGTTGTCTTTGAAAAGAAAAACTTGCTTGTAAGTTAGAAGTCTGTAAGACTCTTCTGGTGTTAGGTGGAAGTCTTGAGTATTGAAAAAAATCAGATTTTAAATCTTAGAGTTGACAACTTTACATCTGGACCATGTAACCTCCAGCCCAAATTAGTTGCAAATAAAAAAAAACAGCAGATCACTGAAGCAAATGAGTACAGTATTTAGAAGTATTACTGTCTCAAGATTTCAAATTTAAATACTTTATTACATACTTTAACTATTTTTTTCTGTGAAATAAGGGGTAGCAGAATATTTTTCTAGCAAGCACTTGGCCCTCCAGTGGGAAAATTGCATGGTATCAGGACCATTGTGCTGCAGTCCTTCTGGCTAGTAGTGTCCTAGCAAGAGTTTGTCAGCTGGTGTTCTTGTGGTGGTTTTTGTAAGTAGGTGCTCAGGTAATGCTTCCTTAACAGGTGATGTGGCCTTGGGCAGGAACTGAGGATACTGGTACTTAAATGCAGAGCTGGCTTTTCCCTTTCTTCTTTGCATGAAAAGTTTGTGACAAAGAACTGCCTGGTGAAAGTAAAGGCTTGTACACGAGGTTGTTGCTTATGGCTGTAAACTGCTCTTAATTTACTAATCCCACTTGGATATTTCTTGAGGACAGACTGTGTTTGTAAGAAGTGGTTTGGGAGCCATAGCCCTCAGCTGTCTGTCCCTCATGTGTTTGATGTTAGGAATTTGGAACTGAAGTTTTTGACTTAACCTGGTGGCTTGAGAGTGTTTGTTGAATATAGTGCTGCTTAGGGACCTTGTTCTGACACTGGCTGCTGAAACTCATCAGAGTCCTGGGTAGGACTGGGTGTACTGGCACCTGGCATGGTGTTTGCTTAGGTAGCTGAAGACTTGAAAATATCAGAACACCCATTGGCTCATCCTAATTTGAAAAAGTCATAACCTGAAAGTACATAAATTTAGAAAATGTATTTTGTAGTGGCCGTTAGAAAAATCCTCCTTTATAATCAGTTTTAGATACACAGTTTTAAATAAAAGCCAATTCCACACTGCCAGAGTTGAGACAAGCTCTTGTAAAATTTATTTCTCCTAGGACTTTTACTAAAAACAAGATAAATGAAAACAGAAAAATCAAAGGTGACTTATCTGGTCTAAGACATGCTAGGATGAAGATTAAATGTGCATTATTACAATAGAATAATGTTTCTTAGTAGTAGATCTTGAACATTGTTTGAAACCTATGGAAAGAAAATAATGTTATGGTTTTTTTTGTAAAAGTATCATTAAAAGAAATTACTTCATTGCCTCATTTTCGCTTACATTATATGTAAGTGTCTTACTAGTACTGTACTTAGTAAGAGGCTTTTTGCATTCTTGGTTTCCTGTAGAAAATAAAGGCATTTTTCTTGCTTAGTTTAGATTGCAGATAAGTACATTAAGTCATTAGGCCTCTAATTTGCACTGGCACTGTTAAGTAATCTTTCTGTTCCTAAGAATAAGTAGTATAAACAGCTGTATGTCTTTCCATTAACTTGCTAAATAAAATATTAACACATTTTTCTTGTGCCTGCTATACTAATATACATTGAACTAAAAACATATTTCTCCTTAGCTCAGGGCCATAGCACTGTCAATCTCATGGTGGTTGAGGCCACTAATGGTTACACTGCTCACAATGACCATGTCAGGTGCATTCCTGCCCAGCTGTCCAGAGTTCCACAAAACATGTGGTTGTCGTTTAGTCAGAGTAGTTTGAAGAAGGGCTAAGTGTACCAAAGGGTGTTACCAAGGTGTTAACTGTAAGTGTACACTGTGCTCAGGGGTGGAGCAGCAAACTGAGTTGCAGCTAGATGTTCTCTTGGCAGCCTACTGAGGGACCTCAAGAGATGAAGACATAACAAGGCTTTGAAGACTTAACAAGACCAATCTTACTCTGATACCCACAAACAAAATTTGAGTCTAGGGGTAAATGGATCCTGAAGGATGAGATGCCAGCTGTGAACCTGAAATGACACTTCAGGGGAAGTGGTTATGCATCTGGACCAGCTTCTGGCTGGAGCCTGAAGGCACTGAGCAGCAAGCAGAAAGTTTTTGTGGCTGTGCAGTCATTTGCATGCTCTAGAGACAGTCCTGTCTGGGACATGTTGGCCCTGGCTTACAACAAGTGATGCACACAGTGTTGCTGGGAGGGTCAGACCAATGGAAGGCAGTTGTGAATGCTGGATGTACACAAGTGTGGTCTATGCTTGGAGATTCCCAGAAATTCCTGCAAACTGAGTAAAAGCATCTCTGAGGAAGCTTTATTCTGACAGTGCTTGTGAAGTTACGTTTAGAAACGTGGCTTTTAAATAGTACTGGGTGGCTATAGGTAAATACCTGCTCAGGTGGAACAAATAGGTGTTTTCTGTTGGTTCAGACATTCTTTTTCCATATCTGGAGAGAGAATAAGCAACAACTTAGAAAAAACAAGACTTTGTGACATTTTTTACACACTAACTTTCTTAATGCCAAGAGTGTAGAAGTTGTATAAAAAGCTAAGTGGCAAAAAAAGCTAAGTGGCTAAAGGTACATAGATTATGGCTTTCAGGAACATGTGCACATATTTTACAAACTGTGCATGTTTGGATAAGCTAAACACTCAAACCTCAGCCAGAGCAAAACTATTTTAAAATGCACATGCAGCTGTTGAGGAAGTAGTTTTGTTGGAGAACTTCAGCACAGAAAAACTGAGAAGGGAAGGCTATGTGCTCAGCATTTACCATCTTGGCTCCAATTTAGCATTTCTGAAAATTAAATTCAGTAGCTCAGCATTGTCTTCAAGAAGGTTCAGAAACCACCCACCATTTTTGAGGGTTTTGATCACTTTTTACCTGTTAGTATTTTGTCAATTGTCTCCGCAACAAATTTTGCATCCTCCATATTAAAACACATTGGGGGCTTGAATTTCAGCACATTTCTTCCTGGCCCATCTGTACTCAGTAGAATATATTTTTCCTTAAGTCTGGAAAGAGCAATAAAAAAGAATTACATTTACCTCTGCATGTAACTCAGAAAAACTTCCAACACCAGCCTGCAGGCTGTCACACAGTGCCTTTCTACACTGACTGGTTTCAGTTTTGGCCTTGTGTTTTACCAACTCCTGTACCTTGTTACTAGATCCTCTGCTTCTGCTGTGGCTGGAGTCCTTTCTGCTTGGTCCTTGATTAAGTCCACTCCAATGAATAAGCCACAACCTCTGTAAAAGAAATAAAACCATTCAGTCTGCCAGAGTCAGTGTCAGAGGAAGAAACTACAAGTGAAGTAAAAAAATGAGGGTTTTTTTAAGACCAGACCTTTACTGCATGAGAATTACCTGATGTTTGGCTACTGTTAAAAAAAAGTTTTGCTGTTCTGAAGAAATGTGGTAATACAGACTTCTGTCTGCTCACATTGGTAGAGCAGGACAGGATATTAAGCATGTTTTCAATCTAGCTCATCACTTCTGTACTCTGTGCACTTGAACTTTGAGTTCAAACAGCAGTTTGAACAGTAGCAGTTGAACAGTTCTAGCAGCTAATAAATTGATAAAACAGTAGTGGCCCAGAGTGGCAAAGTATGAGACTTCTGATAGGCTCAGGTTTGTTTTACTTAATTGTACAGGAGGCTCTTTATTTTTGCTGAAAACACATAATTTTATTAATTTCTCAAAACAACATATGTTGGATTGAATTGTTGGACTGACTGAACCAAAGAGAAAGCAGCTAAAAATGTAAATAAGGCACTGATACCTGACATCACCAATGATGGGATGCTTGAGTTGCTGCTCCTTGAGTGTCTTCATCAAGAAGCTGCCAACCTCTGTGGCATGAGCCTGAAGGTGTTCCTTCTCAATTACATCTAACACAGCTAATCCAATGGCACATGAAACAGGGTTCCCACCAAACTGAGCCCAGGAAAGGAACACACAGAGCCATGGAAAGGGAAGAAAGATGAAATGATGTCACTGAAAGTGCAGCCTCAGTTATACAAGGAGCATATTATTACTTTTATCAGATGGAGCCAATACACAGAGTCACAGACTAGAAACACAGAGATTGTACAGTGACACAGTTCTTCATTTACTGTGTGGTAAATACTAATAAAAACACAGCATGGGTATCTACTTTTAATCCTTAGGCTTACTTACTGTATTAAAATACTCTACTCCTGTGGCCGCAAATGCTTCTGCAATTTCTTTTGTTGTTGCTACACAAGCAAGTGGGTGCCCATTCCCTATTGGCTTCCCCATAGTGACAATATCAGGTATAAAATCTTCTCCCTGAAGCTGGAATGCCCAGAAGTGCTTGCCAACCCTGCCAAAGCCAACTTGAATTTCATCAGCAATAAATACACCTCCTGCCTTGTGCACATGCCTGTAACATAAGATTTGATTGTCTCTTAAAAGGAAAGAGAACATAGCATTTACTGTTCAGGAACATGCAGAAAGTGCAAACTTTGAGGAAACAAAGGTATACAAGCCTTTATTGCATACTGTGTGTTTATAAGCAGACCTTTGCCTTATACAGAGTTCACATTCTAACATGAAGGCTTGGATAATTTCCTTCCTATCAAGCTCTGTGTCACAGCAGGCAGAGAATTATCTATTTACCAAATATGATAAGTTAAAAAAGATAATGAATGACCACTTACTCTGCAACCTTCTGAAAATATCCTGCTGGGGGAATGATTTGACCACCAACACTTGGTAGAGATTCAACAAAAAATGCAGCAATCTAAAACACAGCACATAATGTTTGAACACAATACAGAAAGTTGTGGAGCAAGCTTTGTCCTTAGATGGTTTTTGATTATTAATGTGATCTTCACTTTTTGACGAGTCCATACCACTTAGTTTAGTAACTCTGAATTGCACTTACAGTCAGGCACATTCATTTCTAAGACAAAACAAAGTTCAGGAAATGATGTCTTACCTTTCTGCCTCTCTTATGTGCATGCTCAATAATATTCTTTACTTCATCAGCATAGGCTGTTACTGAATCTTCATGATCTTCTCTATAAAGTCCTCTGTATGTGTCTGGAACAGGAGCCTATGCAAAGGAATATCTTACATGAAATATACTGTAAAAACAACTTCACTCAATTGACAAGTAATTGATAGGTATAGGCTGAAGTACATACCACGTGGACCCATTCCTTTTGTCCTTCTAGATTTCTGAATTTATATGGGCTTATGTCAATCAAAGATGTCAGATGTCCATGGTAAGCACTTAAAAAACAATTGGCAGAACTAAACAGTAATTTTCTCAGTATCAAGAGTTCTTTAGTATTAGCATTCCAAATAGTAAAAAGTAGCCAGCTGCTATTACCTGGTAGGAAATTCAGTAAACAGCTCTGCAGTTTATTTTCTATTAATAGGCTTAATACTACTTGGATTTTTTTTTTTTCCATATAAAGGATGCAGAGGGACAGGACTTAGCACTGGTTTGCCTGCACCAGTGACTGGAATCACAGCAGGGAACACCTGAGCAATACACAAGATTGCAAACAATGGGAAGGGCCTATTTCTGAACATCTTCCAACAATGGAGTTTCCAGTGACTGTAGGCATCCTCTTCTAATATTAGACTCTCTTCATGGCAAAAGACTTTTTTTCCTGTCTCATCAAAATTCCTCAGGTTTGAACTTACATCTGAGGTATTTTTTTCTGTCACCATACATCTTCACACCTGGCTCCCATCTCTTTTGCTCCTTCCCATGAGACAGTTGTAGTTGCAGTGAGATCTATCTGGCTGTCTCTTGCAGCTGAACAAACCCAGCACCTCTCACTGCTGTGGCTCCTTTCCCATCGTGGCAGGCCACTGCTGGCCTTACTCCAGTGTTCAAGAGATGTTGAGTATTGGAGAGCCCAAAGAGCCCAACCACAGCTCCCAGGGCTGGGCTGGCCAATACTCAACAGAGGGAAAAAGGACTTCCCTCAGCTTCCTGGTTACAGTCTTTCTACTACAGCAGGATTTCAGAAATGCTCTGACCATGGGCCAGAATGGAGCCTTGTAGCCCCAAATTGCCAAGTACTCACTGGTCTAAAACGATAACATCCTCGTGTTTTGTGTACTGCCGTGCCAGTCTCAGGGCAAGGTCGTTGGCTTCAGATCTACAATGGAAAAATTCATTGTGGATATCTTGAGTTTTGAAATCTAACCTCCCTTGCACTGCTTTTTGTGTCTGCAGAGAACAGACAGAACTTGATGCATGTTATGCACAAATTCCTTAGTAATCAGCACTCACTAGGTAGGACTCTTCAGCAGAACAGAATACATCTTAAAAAGCCAGAGTACAGGAACTAGTGAGTACAGGAACTACTTTCTGAGAAACAATTTGGCTTTATTTTTTTTTCTTCCAGATGAAGTTTGCTTAAGGATATGTCCCCCCCTCCCCAGCAGAAGCAATGCATTGGTACATTTAATTTTGAGACTGTCAAGTGAGAAGACAAATCAGACAAGAAACTAATACAGCAAATATTTACATTAGTGTTTTGAGGTCCAAGGTCTTACAAATAGAATAAAGCCCTTCTTAAACTAAAGCACAAGTTTAGTTTCCAGGTAGAGAGCTTGCAAAACCAAACCCATGTTTTTGTCAGTATCTAGTCATCCACACCAGACTGAAATTGGCTGTTGATAAGAAAGTGTACTTGTCTGTATATACCTAGGAAAGCCCCTGTATCAATTCTAATGAACCCAACTTACCCAGAATTCAAAAAATAGAAGATGCATAATTTCTCAGGTAGTGTTTTTGAAAGTCTCTCTGCATAATCAACCAAGTTGTCATGAAGGTAACGAGAATTTGTATTTAACAATTGATTCTGTTCATGGGCTGCCTTTACTATATCAGGGTGACAGTGTCCAACTGCAAGACAATGTGGAGAGTGGTTTGAGAGTTCTTCATATTACCCATGGTGTTCATCACATGCCAGCTTAACACTTAGATTTCTCTAATAGTACAGAGATCTTACCAGTATGGCCTTAATAATGGTACACCTTGTAAAAACATTTTTGTGCTCCTCAGAAAGTTTGAACTTGCCTCCCACTGTATTTAAGGTTTGTAGTTAGTACTGGAAATTGATATGCTAAAGTAAATAGTGTCTGATTTGATGCCTGGATTTAGGCATTTACACAGTTCAGGAGTTTGGGAAGGTGCAGGTAAGCTTTACTACCAAAGAATTACTAGCCCTGATAGGGGTTAGGTTAGAGAGATTTCAAATCCTGTAAGAAAGCAACAGTCAATTATACAAAAGTAAGGCACCACACTGAGCAGTGGGGTTCTGTGACTGTGCACTTAACAGTAACTTTTACAATAACAAAATGTCACTTGTTAATTTTACAGTGAGGTGCTTGAGTTTCCATGGAAAAAATCTGTATGTTTTAGACACATTTCTAGGAAGACAGGACAGGAAGCAAGTCTGGAAAGCACATTCACACAGCCAAATTCAAAAACACTGTAATTCCCCAAACTACATGCTCAAGAAAGTTTCCTTCCACTTTTCCAATTAAACACCCCCTCCCCCAGCACAGTGCAACTGCAGTAAAAGTACTGACTGTTCTTTGTTCTGCTTAAAAAAACACAGCATCAAATAACATCCAGTACCATGACTTTAGCTTACCATGAGCCACATTGTTTATGCAGTCAAGGTACTGTCTCCCATTCTCATCATACATATACTGGCCTTTTGCCTTCATGATCTTCACTGGATCATTAGGAAAAAACAGCTTGCAAGAAGAGCTATGACAAGCATCACAAAACAAAATAAATCTTGGTGAGTTTAGTTTATCCTACTGGTAAAAGACATTTCTCCTGTTTGCTGGCACAGTCATCCTGCTTTTGGCCCCTAGACCAAAGGCCTTGTGCTCAAAATTTTCTTAGATTAACAGGAAAAAAGCACACTCCAAACCTGAAAATCCTACTCTATGGTCTAGACACAGCAGTAGGACTCACCTCTGTAGTTTCATCCTGTCTTAACTGCAATTCCTTACTGTCTGTGCTGTCTGCCCTTTTTGTTCTTTTGTGTCTCTTATGTCATGCTATGTTCTTTTTATTATTCTTACTGTGTTCTTGCTATTCCTGCCAAGGTTCTGATTTTCCAGTTTACTGCTGGTGACTGTTACAGCTTCACTAACCATAGCTAGAACACAGTGATTCTATTAGGCTGGGTTTACTTAAGTGCATTTGTTTAGTTTCACTTTTTAAATGAATTTCCAAACAAGTGAAAGGGAAGCACATCTTCCTAAGTAGGAGTTGCAGAGATTTGAGACTGGAGGGCAATGCCTAACTTCCATACTTCATCATTTAGTAAATTATGGCTTATACAGAAATAATTTGATGATAAATACAAAGCCATTGTCAAATGGATGACAAAGGACAATGGTGAAGTAAGAAAGTGCTTCATTATCCCACCCAGGAGGTATCTTGATACTTTCTCTGTGAGCTGGCAAAACAATTGGGGTTTTTTGTAAGCTTCTCCTAACTGTTCAAAAGATGCTAAGAAAGTGCTTTCAGAGGCTGGGTCTTGTTGCCAGTGGAAAGGCAAATCAGTTAGAAGAAGATTGGACACCCAGTGTAGTATTTTTTGGGTGGCATAATCCTAATTTCAGCATTTACTTTCAGCCCAACTCTATTGTATTTATACAGCACATAAAAGTACCCTTGGATTTGAATGTATGTGATATGAAAATAGTCCCTCAGTTAAATAAGAGTTGTGTTGCCATACTTGGTGATGGTCTAAAGAATTAAGACTTTCTTGAGGCTAGTTGAAACACCACCGGTAATGTAAGTTTAGAACTGAGTCTTGTCCCTCATTCTGTCAAAGAGAGCAGAGTTTGTTGTTAATTCCATCCCGGTTTTGGTATAATTAGTTTCCTGAAAGACGGGCTATAACAGTAGGCGAGCCAGAACCTCGCGTGCCCCAGCACTGCCTCCAGCCGCAGCCGGGCTCGCAGAAAACGCTTTCTAAGCAGTTTAGCCTCTAAACAGGCGCACTCGGTATCATACGGGTTTTACAGTGCAGTTTCGTAATCCCCCTCCTTAAGAACGGCTAATTCCTGTTAATTACAGCAGCGCACCGGGCTGTGCGGGCGCGGCGCTCCGGCGCTGCCGCTGCCTCCAGCCCGGGCGCGATGGCGCTGCCGCCGGGCGGGGCCCGCGCCTCGGCCCCGCTCCC